CTAAATAAAAGAAAATTAGAAATCATATGAAACAGTAACAAAAATTGCTGAAATTTGGTGAGGGGTTTATATTCCCATAAGGATCATCCATGAATTTATTTAGGATTATTGACCTCTGGAAGTATTTTATATGATTTATGCCTTGGTTTTAGCAATAATTCTAATAATCAAAGAAATAACAAAAGCTCTTGAAATTTTCCAGATTATCTCATGCATGCAAGGGCTTTCAAAAGGAAAAATGTAAAAAAATGTATTCAGAAGAGAAATGAGGGTAATGATTCCAAACAATTTAAGAAAGTTGCATGCAATAATGCATGAAGTGTAAATGTGGCTGAAGTTCATGAATTTGTGTAGTCCATTCAGTGAGGTTTTAAGCCAAAATTTCAACCATAATTCACTAGATATGTTAAGTTTCTAAGGTATTTTTCCTCAGATTTATGGTTGGGTTTAAGGCCATTGTTTAAGCAAGTAAAAATAGTGATCACAGAAAAAGAGCTGTATGCGCAACCTTTTGTAAATCTGCTAAAAATCGGATATTTAATATTTTACAGTGAGACCAGTTGGGTTTGAAATTAACTCGTGGAACTAACAATACAAAAAAAAATATCATGATTTGGTTAAGAAATGACTGAGTTATGACTGTTCAAAGTCGAACAAAGTAATCTGGCAGATTGCATGTTTGCTTGTGTGCATTATTAGGGTATTTCAACAAGAACATCATGCATGTCTTTGGTAAGGCCCGATTTCTAACACATGCATGGAATGAATGAGCATCCAAGATGTACTAGAAATGGTTTAAATGCTTTTGTTCATGCATGAACACAAAAAATGGAGAAGAAATGAAATATTAGGTTTTGATGTCACATGATCATATGTGCATCTTTTCCACTCCTTGCATGGGTTTGATCCCGGATTTTCACCATCTCTAACACATGCATTGTGTTATGGTGAGAATCTACAAACCACAAGGGGAGAATAAAGATTTCTAGCCATGGAAAGGCATAGAATCCGAAAAGTAGAGAAGACTAAGAAGAAAAAGAGGTTTAACCATGAAACTATGGAAGAAGATGTTGTTGTTTACCTTGGTTTTGACCTTGAGAGAAGTAAGAACACTTCAAGGGCTTCACAATCTCGAAATTTTGCAGAGAAATGAGAGGATTTTCGTGAGTTTAGAGAGAGGGAAGAAGAGAGTGAAGTGTGTGAAGAGAGTGAAGTGAGAGAGTGAAGAGGGAAGAGGTGGAGTAAGGGTTTAAGCTTAATGATTGTGTTTTGGGGAAGAGAGAGGGCATGGGGAGAGGTGATGGCCGGTTTTTGCATGCATTTTGGCCTCCTCTCTCCTAAATTTTAAACTTTATAAACTTCCCTCCTATATTTTATATAAAAACATTCATTTTTATAAAATGTTTATTAAGCAATTTGATTTATTTAAAATCTTGTTTTCAACAAACAATTTATGATTAATACTTGTAATTTATAGGGAAATATTCAAAAAAGTCCCAAACTTTTGGGAAAAGTTACACTTTTGTCCCAACATTTTTTTTTTGAACAAAAAAACCCAGGAAACCGGGTAAATTGAACATTTCGGCCCTATTTTACCGGTGACCTTCATTTAGCCGGTTAAATTGGCTTATGTGGCAAGGACTTGCTGAGGTGGTTCATTTAATGGCCTTGTATTAAACTCTAAATATAGTGGAAAACTTCATTCGTGCCCTAGCAGACAACGATTGAAGTAGGAGCAGTAGAGGACCAAGACAAATGTCTTCTTCGTCTTCTTCATCTTCAATGAATCGTCTCAGAAAGAGGTGCTACTGTGGTGATCCTGTAGGAAGATGGACTTCATGGACTCCATTAAACCCAGGAAGAAGGTTTATAGGATGCCCAAATTACCAGAATGGACTCAAAGATTGCAAGTACTTTCGTTGGGTGGATCCTCCTCTACCAAGCCAGTGGTATGCAGATCTGTTATTAGTATTACACAACAATGTCGATTTGGAGAACCATCGAATATTTGGGGAGTTTGGGCAAGAACAACCAGCTGGGAACTTTTTTGGAGACGTTGTGGAACAACCAATGGCACAACAACCAATTGCACAACAAGCAGTGGAAGGAGGAAGATGGAAATCATTGCTTTATGTCTCTGTGGTTTTTTTTGTGTTTTTGTTGGTTATGTTGATGGATTGGTAGGATAGAAAGTTGTTTTAATGTATTTTGGTTGTGTTTGTTTTGGTTATGACTAAGGGTTGTTAGTTTACTATGAATGTAGTATCTTGTTACTCATATGATTATGAATGAAGTATCTAGTTTATGTATGAACTTTAAATGTATTGATTGTAATCAATGAATGGAATCAAAGTATGACTGTAATAAGTTAATAATGGACTTCATACACAAACGAATCAATACATAATGGAGTCAATCATGCATGACCGGAATCATGCATAACTAGATATGGCTTTCAACCTTGACAGGTATGGCTTTCAAGAATGGATGGCCACATTCATGGGAAGATTTTGAAGGTTTAGTGTCTGAAATGACAATTTTACCCTTACATCAATTTTAACATAAGAGGATTATGGAGGCAATTAAAAGAAGGGGAAAATAAAATAGAACATGTAGTAATATTAACCAAAGCCAGAACAAGTTTAACATAAGAGGACCGGAATCAAGCATGACCGGAATCAAGCATGACCGGAATCATGCATGACCGGAATCAAGCATGACCGGAATCATGCATGACCGGAATCATGCATAACTAGTATCCATATAAGCAAACATTGTAAGCACAAGTAATGTATGCATGACTGGAATCTATAAAACAAGGAATCAATATAACCAAAGGGAACATAAACATTGTTAATCATAGAACATGTAGTAATATTAACCAAAGCCAAACAAGTTGTATGGCAAGTTGTGTAAATGCCCAAAAACATGATCAAGGGGCCCAAAGCCTATAGTTTATATGGATGTAAACAAAAGGGGCTATCAACAAAAGGGGCTATCAACATTTTCCCAAACCCAAAAGTTTTATACATGTTCTTAACAAAAGTAGGGATCAGAAACACCCTAATCTAGACCAAGGGGGTTGGATGAACTCATCCCCTTTCCATTCTTGACAGCTACCACCTTTTGCAACTGGATCTTTGTTATCCTTTCCGAAGGCTTCCTCCTCCTGACTTGATTCACTTTGCTCCTCTTTGTAGTCCTCTTTCTGACTTGATTCAATTGTTGTGTGCTAGGTATTTCTCTCTCTCCATCCATCCTTTCCTCATTCGTCATTACCTCACCCATCCCTGGCTCATCTATGCCATCCTCCCCATTCATCCTTTCCTCATCTCCAAGTACATGATTTGTAGGGAGTTCTTCAACTGTTATTTGGCTAGCAATTCCAACATCCTGTAACAAGCATAACAAAAAGACCAATTAGCAAGATTTAACATCACAAAATGAATAATGAGAAAGAAAGCATACTTGTGACATAGCAACATCCACATCTTCAATTTGTTGTACTTCTGCTTCAGTGAGTCCAAGACAGTCCATGATCTCTTCTGTAGTGTATAAAGATTTCCTTAGGTTGTCAATTGTTAAGCTAATTTCTTGTAAATCTGGACTTGCATCATTTTCACTCTCAACATTTGGAATGGCACCACCTCTATTGCCTCTTCCACTAGAGCCCCTACCACCACCTCTACTCCTTCCTCCACCAACCCTTCCACCAGCCCTTCCACCACCTCTAGATCCTGTTTTAGTTCCTGACCAATTAACCAAATCAGGTTCCAACCTAGGCCTGCCCATTTTTTTCTTTGGTTGAGGTTCTGGAACCACTGTAGGATTCTTGCATGATGTTTTATTGTGTCCCCTTTGTAGACAATTTTTACACTGGACAGTTCTACCCTTGCTTGACACTTGAGAGTACTTGTCTTGATTTTCTGAAACATGTCTTCTTCTTTTAACACTAGGCCTTCCTGGCATCCTCCTTTCAATGGGTGGAAGGGGCTTAGTGTAGCTTGTTTCTTCCCATAAGATACTTCCATTAACTGGGTGTATATTCTGATCATAAGTTGCCTTGTAATTATTCTTGCTGAACCAACTACTTATAAAGTTAACTGGATCTTGATTGGTGTACAATATTGCCACTTGTGCATGCACACAAGGTATTCCTGAAAGTTCCCATAATCTACAAGCACATATTTTTTCCTTCAAGTTAACTCCATAGTTCTGAAACCCATTCCTTACTTCATATTCATTCACTCCACTTGGAACTGCATGCCAACTTCTGCAAACATATAAGATAGAACATAAGATGCAAACACATAAGATAGAACATGTAAAAACAAAACAATTGAGAATACTTACTTAATGTCTTCTCCAAATTCTTCCATCTTTGTTACCGCGGAAGGACAAACTTCACCAACCCAGTTTTCAGCTTCTTGTTTCAGATTGAAAGCCCTTTCCATCATGTAAAGCCTAATCTCTTCAAGCATAGTCAGCAAAGGTTTCTTTCTTGCGTCTACAATGATTGCATTGAAACACTCAGCAATCCCATTCTCTACAGCCTCACAAGCCAAGCCAGTAGAGAAATAAGCTCTGCACCATGAAGTTGGTTCCCTTGCCATGAGATGATCATAAGCAGCAGAACTTATTGCCCTAATTCTTTCCATATTAAACTTGAAATCTCCTTCTGTGGTAGATTTTGCAGCTGCCCAAAACATGTTTCTGAACTGCACTCCACTATAAACTTTTCTGAAATTGGCATAGATATGCCTTGCACATTGCCTGTGCTCAACATATGGTAGAATATCCTTACTAGCTTCAACAAGACCCTATAACATGAAAAAAAAAGTTAATTAGCAACACCATACATTATTGTAAATAATGAAAAATAAAGAGATAGTTACTTTACCTTGTGTTGGTCACTGATTACACACACACCCTTTCCACCCTGCAATCCAAGATCATCATTAACCAAATCCAGGAACCATTTCCAGTTGTTCTTGTTCTCTACATCAACAACTGCCCAAGCTATAGGATACACCTGATTATTGGCATCCCTACCTATTGCAGTTAACAATTCACCCTTACACTGTCCCTTCAAAAAAGAACCATCCAATCCTATTACCCTACGACATGCCCTTTTCCACCCCTCTCTTATTGCTTTAAAGCAAATGTAGAATCTATGAAATGTTGTGGTATTATCAGGGTTTACATTAACTGTAATCCTAACTGTGCTGTCTGGATTGGACCTCAGTAGCTCATGCCCATAATCCCAAACTCTTGCGTAGTGGTCATTCAAATTTCCATGAATTAATGACAGAGCCCTCATCCTTGATCTATAACACTTTGACCATGAAATTTTGCAATGAAATTTACTTTGTATAATTACCTGCATCTCTTTGCATTTTAAATTAGGTTTCCTAATCAACTCCTTCACAAATTTCCTAGCTAACCAGGTAGGATCCATAAGCCTTGAATTGTTAAAATTCCTAACACATTTATGAATGTCTATCATCTTTTTGACTTGGAAAGACCTTTCAGTAGTCATCCAAGAAGCCCTAACCACAAATGGACACTTCTCTGGATCACTTCCACATATTGCCACTAGTCTAACACTATCGCATTTTTTGAAACGGATTTGAAAACCCTTACTAACAGCATAGTTCGTCAAACACAGTTTCAGTTCATGTGGGGATTCATACCTTTCACCAAGCATTGGTCTCATTTTGTTCCATTTCACCTTTGGATTGTGGGTGGAATACTCAAATTCCTCATCACTACCTTCCTCGTTACTACCTTCCAGATAATCTTCATCTGATTCTTCTTTAGTGATTCCAGTTTGAGTATCGTTTCCAGTTTGAGCATCATTTTCAGTTTGAGCATCATCTACTGCCTCGTAATCGTCTTCTTCACATAGAATATTGAGAAATTCGTCTTTGCATCGGGAAGCTTGTTTCTTTTTGAAGTACGCATCCAGCTCCACATCTATTGTATCAAAATCATGGATGTCATCCATGATTTCAACTGCACGGGGGTAAAAAACCCTAGTTTAATGAGGGGAGGTAGAAAGTGAAACGAGAGAGGTAAGTTGTACTGTGTATGTATGTGTGTAAATGAGATCGATTAAAGACACGATTAAACCCACGTATACAAGTCCTTGCCACATAAGCCAATTTAACCGGCTAAATGAAGGTCACCGGTAAAATAGGGCCGAAATGTTCAATTTACCCGGTTTCCTGGGTTTTTTTGTTCAAAAAAAAAATGTTGGGACAAAAGTGTAACTTTTCCCAAAAGTTTGGGACTTTTTTGAAGATTTCCCTAATTTATATTTCTAGTTCATTGGTATAATCCATAATTTGATTAATAAAATTTGATATTAGGAAGTTTATAGCCAAATTTTATAAAGTTTTTAAGCTTTATAATTTATAACTTTGGATTTTTGGCTCTTTAGGGTTTTTGGAATATTGTTTGATATTCAACAACATGTTGAAGTATAATTAGAATGTTTTAATTTATTTTTAGAGTTTTATACCCTATTTCAATTATAACAAAGCTTGAAGCTTTATTCTAACTATAGTATTGGCATTTCCTATTGTAGCTAAGCAACTTACTAGAATTGTAAGTATCAAGTATATTAGTCCTAGACCTTAGTTGGATCCTAGTTTATGCAAGATTTTTGACCTAATTTATACTACTAGGTCATGGCATGTTGTGCATTAATGGTTATTATAAAGATGCATGAGTCCAAGAATGACCTGAATTGGCAGTTGTCACACATATGTTGCATTCGAGGTTAGATTTGTTCCAATTACGCAAAAGAAGCAACATATGACTAACAGATAGAAAGCAAGAAAATAATTTCCTACAAACCTATTTAATCATAACCCCCCAGTTGTCCTATGAATACCAGAATTAAGGACATGAGTCTATACATCAAGGAAATGTTGAGCCACAGTTCTAGATAATTAACTTTTAGTGTATCTTATAGGTTACCATGTTTATCTCACTACTCAATCTACCCGAGCATCGTATTGTCAGTCCAAATGAAACTCTCTAAGTCCATATTGTCTAGTCCTTTCATTTGTCAATCGAAGCCTAGTCCTTTTGAATCCTTTGTGCCTACCAGCACATTGAACATAGAGTCTAGACAATTCGACTTTAGTTCATTACACGAATTTTATATTTCCCTTTAG